ATACTTTTTGGGCCCAAAGTATTTATAAGAGCTTAATAAATAGTATAAGTATTATTTACTTTAACAAATAGTACAAGGCAAAATAATAGAAATTAGATTGTTTCTTAATTCTATCTATGATTTAATTATATCATAATCTTTTTAGAATTGATTGGTGTATTATTGTTTATCATGTAAATAAGATAATCCTTAAGAATTATACTTTTCTGGAGGTGTAATTTCCATACAATAAAGTACACAGATCTTAAGTGTATCATTCAATAAGTCTTCACATAGACCAGACCAATTTCCAAAGATATCTAGAACAGCTCCCCAGAAGGCTCTCCCATACTTTTTCCAATTTAGTACTTCTTTGAGGCTACAACTATTCTGATCTCTATCACCACGGGGTACTTTAGAGCTTTTTAGTTATCTAATAGTATTTAGGTCATGAATTTTTTTTTTTTTTTTTTTTTTTAAAGATGACCGGTAAGGGGATCTTAACCCTTGACTTGGTGTTGTCAGCACCACGCTCAACCAGTGAGCCAACCGGCCATCCCTATATGGGATCCGAATCCGTGGCCTTGGTGTTATCAGCACCGCACTCTCCCGAGTGAGCCACAGGCCGGCCCCATAGGTCATGAATTTTTCAAGAAAAATTCCTATTTGGAAATTTTTCTCATTTTGGGAGCAGACATTAAATACATAATTTAGCCACTTCAAAAAGCATTTTTTAAAAATTTGTTTTTGGTGCTGATAACACCAAGGCCCCAGGTTCGGATCCCATATAGGGATGGCTGGTTAGCTCACTGGGTGAGCGTGGTGCTGACAACACCAAGTCAAGGGTTAAGATCCCCTTACCGGTCATCTTTTAAAAAAAAAAAAAAAAAATTTGTTTTTGGCAGCTGGCCATTACAACTTCAAAATTTTGTGAGAAGGACATCTCCGAAACCATAATATCCATAAGAAAAATCATCAGTAAGAAATATAGGCACCAAGAATATACATTGGGGAAAGTCCTCTTCAGTAAATGATACTGAGAAAACTGGATATCCATATGTAAAAGAATGAAACTAGAATACCCATATACCAAAATCAACTCAAATGGATTAAACACTTAAGTATAAAACCTGAAACTATAAAACTCCTAGAAGAAAACATAGGGGAAACACTTCAGGATGTAGTACTGGGCAAAGACTTTATGAATAAGACCCAAAAAGCACAGGCAACAAAAGAAAAAATAAACAAATGAGATTATGTCAAATTAAAAAGCTTCTGCACAGCAAAGGAAACAATCAACAGAGTGAAATGACAACCTACAGAGTGGGAGAAAACATTTGCAAACTATGCATCTGACGGGGGTTTAATACCCAGAATGTACAAGGAACTCAAACAGCTTCACAGTAACCATCCAATAATAATATAAAAAAAAGGGCAAAGGAGCTTCCTTAGACATTTTTCAAAGGAAGATATACAAATGGCCAACAGGTACATAAAAAAATGTTAAGCATCACTAATCATCAGGGAAATTTAAATCAAAGCCACATCGAGATATCATCTCACGCCAGCTAGACTAGCTATTACTGAAAATACTGAGAATAACAAATGCTGGTGAGGATATGGAGAAAAAGGAATTCTTCTACACTGTTCGTGGGATTGTAAATTAGCACAGCCATTACGGAAAACAGTATGGAGTTTTCTCAGACAACTACAGATAGAACTACCATATGATCCAGCAATCCCACTGCTGGGTATATACCCAAAGAAATGGAAATCATTATGTTGAAGGGATACCTGCACTCCCATGTTCGTCTCAGCCCTATTTACAATAGCCAAGAGTTGGAACCAGACCAAATGTCCATCATCAGACAAGTGGGTATGGAAAATGTGGTATATCTACATGATGGAATACTACTCTGCCATAAAAAAGAATGAAATTCTGCCATTCACAGCAACATGGATGAGCTTGGAGAAAATTATGTTAAGTGAAATAAGCCAGGCACAGAAAGAAAAGTACTACATGTCCTCACTTATAGGTGGGAGCTAAGGAAGGAAGAAAGAAAGACCACAATAAAATGCTGAACTTTCAGAAGGAGAGAACAGACCATAGTCACTAGAGGCAGGAAAGGGGGAGAAGGAGGGGAGTTTGGGAGTAATTGGATAAGGGACACAGAGAATAATTACGATTTGTAATGATGAACATGCTGGTAATATTGATTTGATCATCAATACTGTACACAAATACTGAGAGTAAATTCTGTACCCCATAAATATGTATAATCAATTGTTTCAATTAAAAGAAAGAATATAACAAACCAAATAAAGAAATAATCAGCACATAAAGAAAATATGAAGAATTATGAAAAAAATAATAAAGTGAAGAGAAAAATCAGCTGACCCCAAGTATCTTGCTTTTCTACACACCTCATTTGGAAATCATGATCTATTTAGAATGGTAAGTGCATAGCATAGTGGTCACAGGGGTACAAAACAAATTAAGATTTTGGATTAAACTTCAGATTTATTTGAGTATGCCGGGAAGTCCATTCTATGATGGCAATGTTCCTCTCCAGGGAATAGTGATTTTTACACTCACGCATTTGGCCACAATGTGTATCTAGTCGTCTTCTACTTTCAAACCTTTGTTATGGCCAACTCATTAACTTATTGGAGCCACATTCTGCTTGAATTGTTTAATGTCCTTTTTTTTTTCTTAAAATAGACTTTATTTTTATCGCAGTTTTAGGTTTACAGAAAAGTTGAGCAGAAAGCACAGTTTACATACCCCATCATAGACACATTTCTCCTATTATTACATCTTACATTAGTGTGGTACATTTGTTACAATTATGAACCAATTTGGATATATTATTATTAACTGAAGTTTACATTAGTGTTTCTTCTTTGTGTTGTACAGTTCTATGGGTTTTGCCAAATGCATAATGTCATGTATTCACCCAAACAGTATCATACAGAATAGTTTCACTGCCCTAAAAATCCTTCATGCTCTACCTATTCATCCCTCCCTGAATTGTTCAATGTTCTGCTCTCCTTTCTTTTAATTGCTTCCCTGCCTTCTCCCCTCATCATCCCAGACCACCTGTCTCACCTAGCAGGACTCTGCCTGCCAGCTCGTCCTCTAACCCACTCCTAAACATCACTCTAGCAGGAGAAAGTCCCCAGGGAGCCTTGAGTGAACTGTTTGCCAAAGGCAGATATTGCTACTACTGTTGTCTCCACGACTACTAATTATCATTATCGAATGCCTACCAGCACCTAGGGCTGACTAGAGCTTCATATGTGTCATTTCTAAATCTTCCTGTGATCCTGTTTGGTAGGTTGGAGCACTCCCATTTTGCTATGTGGAAACAGACCTGCAGAGAGGTTCAGTAATTTGCTCCAGACACTTAGTCAGGAACGACTGAGCTAGGATTTACACTCAATTCTGAGTGGCTCCAAGCTTACTCTGACTCTGGATAGGAGTAAATGAGCACAGGAGTAATAGGCAGGGATAGGTGGAGTAGGATCCTCCACAGGGGTGAGAAGGTTTAACAATGTACTTGGGTCTGAAGGAAGCGGGGCATGGGACACAGTGCTGTTTGTCTGGTTTCTTTTCTTTGTTTTTTTGGTGGCTGGCTAGTACAGGGATCAAACCCTGAACCTTGGTGTTATCAGCACCACACTTTAACTGACTGAGTTGACTGGCCAGCCCAAATGAGATAAAGGAAGAGAGAAGCTGCTGGTGATGGTTGGGGCTGCAGGCAATGTGAGAGGGGCTGTCAGGGCTTAGCCAATATAAAGCCATAGCTTCTATAGCTCCACCTACTAGATAGGGAGAAATGGCGTCTACAGCCCAGGGGGACAGAGAGATGGCATTTTTGCATCTCAGCTCCTCAGGCCTGGGCACACGGCCAGAATGGAGAGCCAGGGAATCACGGAGGCAGGGGAGATTATTATCAGGAGGAAGGAAGCTCTGGCAGCTCCCACCAGCCTGTTTGTGACAAGCAGGCTCAGGGCCACCCACGGAAGTCCCTTAAGGTCAAGGGAAATGTGATCCTGCAACAAGGGAATAAAGCTGGGACACTCCCCTTACTTTATGACTTCAGGCAAGGGGCTCTAGCCAGATCCAGGCCCAGGTCCAAAGGGAGTTAGGCGGGGGATTAATTAAGATCCTGGAGCAACTCATATGAAGTCTTTTGGCTAGAGAGGTAATGACCTTTATTGTGGCCAACATAGGGCAACTGGCTCATCAGAGCTCTAAGGTTATATTTCTTCACGGGCGAACTCTTACCTAGTTCTCCCCTTGTCCCTGTATGGCCTCTCCTCTCTTGCTTGACTGGCGTAGTAGAATGCACTGTATTTAGAGTGAAGAGACCTAGGTTCAAGACCAGGTTCTGCGACTAATCAATGAGACAAGTTCTTTAATTATGCTTCCTGAAATCTCAATTTCCTCATCCGTGAAGGAGGCAAGTAATCCCTGTCAAATCCATCTCACAAGGGATTAGATGATTCACGTGGATACATCATGGAAAGCATGAAGTGCTATATTAATTTGAAGTGGTATTTCCTTGTCTTCTTTCCTTCCATCCACCTCTCTCCACACAGGTCACCTTACTACCATGTCAGAGCTGAGGAAGATTTCCAGTTTAGGAATAAGAACAGCTTTGTCTAGAAATCCCGTATAACCCTTTTCCATTTATTCCCTCCCGTATCAGGCTGCCATGATAAAATGGGGCAGGGTAGAGATATACAAAAGCATAGAGCAAGGAACCCACACCCCTGAGCTTGCTCAGCCCCTTTTGGGGATAAGCTTCTGAGAAAACAGCAACAAAAAGATGAAAGACCATCACCTCTGGAGGTTGGCCTAACAAAGTGTCAGTTCCCCTTCAGCCTCTCAGAAGAGCGTGAAACGGGAAGAGCCCTGAGAGATGAGGGGAAGAGAATGCTCTGAGTGTAGGAGGAGCGGTGCAAAGATCTGGAGAGGGAATTAAGGCTCAGCCAGAGTGAGGAAGTCTGGAAACCTAAATGACTTTGTCCAAGTGCACAGGAACCAGATGGAATTCCTTAGAGTCCCCTTTCTTGCGAGGTTCACAGGCCACTATGTAAGCAGAATTCTGGTGCTTCTCTTTGTACTTGCAGTTTGGGTACTTCCCTGAGGTGAGCTGACACAGGGTCATGGACACAGGCCCGTGGCTCTGGTGGCAGTTTTTACGTTTGTTCTTGCAGGCTATGGTGGGGGTCTGGCAGGTGTTGGCCACATTGGAGAAAGAGTCATGCAAGAAGGTGTTGAGATTTTTGCAGCGTTTTCCATCCTTATTGATGCTGGCCATCGCTTTTCCACATGCTTCAGATTTGGGCTGCACGTGCTGAGCTTTAAACCACTGGGATGGAGTCATGTGCTTGGGCTTGGCACTGACTGGGATCTCTGCCACCCACAGCCCCAGCAGCAGGAGCAGCAGCAGGGGGCAGAATCCTGCTCTGACTGGTGCCATCTCTCTTAGGGGGAACAGTCAGAATGGAGGGCTGGGGCCACTGGGAACAGAGAGCAGAGGTGCTCAGTTGAGAAATTAGCCTTCCTATACCTGCTCATTCTGGCTAACCACCCACCTCCTTACCCTATTCTCTCCTTCTTTCCTCACTTTGTGTCTTGTCTCTTCCTCCCCCTGTGTGCTCACATCCACTCTGACCCCATCCCCTAACTCTGTGGCCACATCCCCCACATCTTGTACCCCTAGCTCCCTTCATTCTTTCCCTGTTGCCTTTCACTCTTTGTTCTATCTCCTCTCCCTCAAGTCCCATCCCCTTTGTGTCCCCATGTCCCTAGATCTGTGCCTCATTCCTTCCACATCCCCATCTCCTCTAAGTTATCCCCATTCTTTTCCTTTTGTGCCTCCATTCCCAGTATCACTCTCCTCTCTCCCTCACTCTCTTCTGTCGCCCATGCATGTCCCATCATCTCCCTTCAGTTGAGCCCCTCCTTTGTGCATGTTATCACCCACCTGAACAATTCTCACCCACTCAGAACCCATCCCTCCTTCTCTATCCTCTCTCCTCACCATATCCTGTCATAGGCCTCACCTCTTTGCTTAGTCCTCGTGCTGCGATTCCTGCTCCGTGGGCTGAGGATGCTTCCACCCACTGCTGGGCTGTCAGATCTTTGAGGGCGTCTTCTCACTGCCTAATTCCTTAAGAGCCAGCCCGGGCTCTGCTGCTTCTGGTTGGGGGCGGGTTGATGAGCAGTTGCTGGATCAGAAAATGAATAAGGTTTGTGCCTTCCTACTTATATATCCCAAATAAGTGGATACCTATGGAGCTAGTGTACCCGCATAAATATGTTCAGCAATGAGGAAGCTTGAATTCTCACGTTCAAAGACTATATTTGGCCCCTGGCCACATGTTTTTAATGACTCTTTAATAAATCACCCGATCCAGGTGTCAACCCAAATGAATTTCAGGGAGAGTTGTCATTTATCTCCTCCTATACACACCTCTGGTTCATGATCCTGGGAAGAGCTAATCAATGTGGTGTTAAGAATTGCTTTTTCTCTGACCTCAAGTACAGATAAAACAGCCTAGAAAGTTGCTTTATACGGTTTCATGTCATTCAGAGATACTGCTTTTCTTTTGGAGGAGATGGAGGAGATGGGGAAGTGAATGAATCATCATGATCATGATGCCCAGCACCATCCCCAACAGCTCAACTATTCCATAATGATTCATTCTTTTGGGGCCTCTCCAGTTTCAGGTGCCAGCCAAGGCCACTTGGCTTTACCTGGAGAAGGCACCCAACACCTCTCAACTTTACTCTTTCCCTCCCTTCTTTACTGAAAGTTGCAAAACCTAACCCCCACCCTTGGTGGTTGTGTTGCTCTCAACATCCTGCCCTAGCCCTTCCTTCACCTTGTCCTATTGTTCCTTGTGGCGGTTCCAGCTGTGTGGACAGTCCGGGTCAGTGCTGCTCTGGAGGCTACCTTGAGCTTGGAATGTGAAACTCATGAGAACTGAGACAATGAGACAGAGAAGCATCACTATTTGTGTGTATGCAAAGGCCTGGGAAATGGAGATGAATGGTATTTTTATTTTCAGAATTTACTTGTAAGTAGTAGGTGATCTCAAAATCTTAGATTCACTTCATTGTAGTCAACAAATATTTACTGAGCACCTACTGTGTACCAGGGTACTTGGGATATATCAGTGAACCAAAGAGACAAAAATCCCCACCTTTGTGGAGCTTACATTCCATTGGGGAAAAACAGTAAAAATAAATATATTATATACTTTGCTCAAAGTGATTCTTGCTAAGGAAAAAAATAGAACAGGATAGAGGTTGGTGGGCAGTGATTTTTAAGTAGGAGCATTGAAGCAGGTGACTCTGGGAGAGACTTGAGGATGAGAGAGTGAACTTGTGCTTGTCTGGAGAAAGAATGTTCCAGGTAGGGAGAACAGCACTACAAAGGCCCTAAAGCAGATGGATTTCGGGGGTGTCAGGGGAACAGCAAAGTGCCCAGTGTGGCTGGAGCTGGGGAATGAGGGGTTCAGAGATGGACCAGGGGCCAGATCAATGGAAACCTTAGAGACCATTAGAAGTGCTGTGACTTTTACTCTGAGACCATGGCAGGCCCTAGAGGGTTCTAAGCAGAGGTGATCCTGTCTATTTAGAGGATCATCCACCTGTTGTGTGGATTATAATTGTAAGGAAGTCACATAAACCATCTTGATTATAAGGTTTGTGCTCTGTGTATAAGAGCAGAGTTTGTGTTCGGACCTAAGGTTTGTGTTCTGGTCCAAAAGTTAGGATTTCTTTCTTTTTTTTTTTTCTTTTTCTTTTTCTTTTTTTTTAAAAAAGATGACTGGTAAGGGGATCGTAACCCTTGACTTGGTGTTGTCAGCACCACGCTCAGGCAGTGAGCGAACCGGCCATCCCTATACGGGATCCGAACCCGTGGCCTTGGTGTTATCAGCACCGCACTCTACCGAGTGAGCCACAGGCCGGCCCAAAAGTTAGGATTTCAAGTCAGGAAGATGAGGTATTTATTTTGAGGCCAGAGGGACATAATTTTGGTATATGGAGAGCACAATTGTGGGTCAGGATGAAGGATCTTCAGAAAAAAACGTGGTGTTGGAGACAGAAAATGCCTCTAGATGGCGAAAGAGAACCAAGAACAAGTTCACAGAAGCCACTGGCTCCTCGGTTTGCCCTCAGCCAGGCCCTGGCTGTGGGTACAGCTGTTCACTTCTTTGTCAAGGTGCCTGAATCTTTGCAGGCTGAACTTCTGGATAGAGTGTATGCCCCTGCTGCTGTAGAAACACAAATGTTTGGAGATAAAATCAATGGTTCGGCAGACTGTGGATCAAACAGGTATCAGCATGTGCCTGTCCAACCCTTGGAGTGGAGGCTGGGGTGGGGGGAGGAGGTGAGAGCTGTGAGTTCATTTGAATTCCTAGCCCAGTCTCCTTTCACTTCCCATTATCCTAGAGTGAAATGTTTCCAAATCACGATTTGAACTGCCCTCTGCTCTTATGTTTTCCTGTCATCATAATTATCCTAGTTTGCTCTTTTAACTCCATTATGCTGGGCTCTCTAGAAGGCTGCCTTAGTACTGCATGTAAGTGAAATAAACATGGCCCTACTGTCTCAGGTCAAAGGGAAAAGAGAGTAAAGGTTTACATTTGCACATGAAAATTGGAGTAGAAGAGTTGAACCTACCATCTGTACAATACCAGCTGAAAACTTTGCTTTGCCTCAATTATTTGGATAAAGCAGATAATTTTGTTCTTTTGCTTAAATTACTAGCTCCCAAGATCTTTGTTACTTTGCACTTGGTAGGATAATTTTGCTATTTTACCTTCTCTGCATTCATGGAGCAAGAGGAAAAGATGGAGGAAGGGGGACAAGGTTTAGGAGGACAAAAGGAGTCAGGCAGCAGGCCAAGGACTGGTTAGGGAGTCTTGCGGAAGGGAGAAGAGCAACGGAGAGAGGGCGAGCCGAGGACAAAGTGGTGGGAGAGAAGATGGGAGAGAAGAAAGCCCCTCATACAAGCAACTTTTACCTAGCCTCTTTTTCCCTCTATTGCCATTGTCACTGCTCCACTGGGCCCAACCTCTCCCCAGGCTGCTGTTGCGTGTGTGTTTAAGTTGGGGCGGGTGTTGTGAAAATCCCAGCAGTGCCATGTGGACCTCTGCCTGTCTTCCCCACAGGACAACAGCTGCTGCTTCCTCTAGCCTGAGTTGGGAGGGAGTGAGGGGGAGTGGAAGGGAGGAGGGCGGGCCTGGATTGGTGCCCACCCTTCAGAGCAAGCCTCCCTCTCTCTCTTCCGGAGTTCCACACAGCCTCTGGATACCAAAGGAAAGCCCAGGAGAGTTTCCCTCCAAACAGGAGCAGATCCAAGCTCTGTTATCTTAATTGTGTTGATCCTTGGATAAATAAAGGTAATGGACTCATTTTTGAAGGCTGGGAAAGTGAAGCATACAGCAAGCTGGGGTCAGATGTGGGACTTGCTTGGGTGTTTGAATTCCCATGACCTTCCTGGAGCAGCTGTGGGTCTGGAGGAGGCAGCATTGACAGAGGCGGAATCCTTGCTTTCAGACCAATGCCTTTGGACAAGCCAGGGTATAGGAGAAGGGACCCAGTCTAGGGGTGAGCAGCTTCACCAGGTCACTATCTCATAGCCCTTGCCAGCTCCCCAGTTATGTACAGAATAAAGTATAAATTCCTTAGCCTGCTACGCAGGGTCTGCCACAGTCTGGCAACTTGTCTTTCTAAGTTTATCTCTGACTTCTCTGCCAGAGTGCCTCCATCCCAACCAGACTGTTTTTCTCCCTTTTCTCAAACATACCTTTCATAATCCTCTTTATTTCCACTTAACTACTAACTGCCCCATGAGACCCATCCCAAGGCCCCAGGAGGAACTTCCAGTAAAACTTTCTCTGACCACCACAATTCAGAGAAATCTTTCTTACCTCTAAATTCCTACAGCTTCAAGATGTATAATTTTCTGCCTTGAACCATTGGTTATTTCTTCACATGTATTTATCATTTTTCTCCAACTTAGACTGTCAATTCTCAGAAGATTAGGACCACCTGGTACACTTCTTTTGTACCTTCCACAGGACAAAGCATAGTGCGTAGCATAGAAGTGACCCTAACTGGTTCAACTGCTAGGGTAGAAGGCATTTGCTTTTCTCCTGAATAATCCCAGTCTCCGGTGCAATCAAAACCAATCCACAAAATTTGTTAGCAGATTGAGGGACTGACAATGCAACTCCCAGACTTGAGCCCCAGGGTTGAGGTGACACAATGACAAGAACGTTGAGTTGGCTGAAGCAATCCTTTGGGTGCAAGGACAACCCAGCAACTGTCCATGACACAACATACTGTTTGAACCATTTGAGTTGGACAGGACAAAACTTATTGCCACTGAGACTGTGGTGAACCCACTTAGAGCAAAATCTTGTGGTTCTCCTCAGCCACAGGGAGTCACCCCTTCATCTGTGCCCT